TGTTGTGACAATTGTCAGTGTGACTGACTGTGGTAATTTGTGTAGTTTGAGTGATTGAGTGAATGACTAGTGATTGGGGATGTTGACGACGAGTAGTAGTGAGTATTTGATTAGTATGTGTGAGTGTGTGTTGTGTTGATGTGTAGTTTGAGTGGTGGTGCAGTTGGCGGCGACCATACCACGTTGATAGCACTGGTTCTCGTTTTGTCGTTGTGGTTGATCTTGGCTTACATGTCATCATTCTTTGATATATTTTCAATTTCAATGTCATCTTGAGTTTTTTACATGGCACAATCATAATCCATTTGTGTCTTTGTCTTAACGAATTGTTTACTGCTTTATATGGTGCATCTTTTCTTTCGTTTGTTTTTTTGTTTTTTGTCTATCTCCATATGCTTTTGTGCAATTTTTTTTAATTTTCTGGGAATTATTTTTGTTCACATATGAAGTAATTTTTCAGTAATGTTTTTAATCTTTTTCAATCGGATTGTTGTATCTCTCGTGTAAATTGACGTTAAATTTCTAATTTATCATTGTGATTTGTTCACACAAAAGTGGACGATCAATGTGTTTGTTTCATGGTTTTTCTGCGGACCTCGACTGATCGATTTCGATGAAGGTTCCAGAAAAAGTATCATTTTTCTGTTTTGCAATTCAGTTAACCTTAGCAGTAAGTTGGTTAATTTTTATTTTTCTTAGCAACTATATTCATAATAAAATAGAACCATATAATCTTTTTGATGGTTTATGTTGTCGTTTTTATTGAAGCAGCGGTTGATATTTTCAGCCTAGATAATTCTGAAATCAATCATGCTTCTGAGTTAGCTATTGTTAATGTCGACCGTTCTACTAAGTGATATCATTTTTACCGACAGTTATGTTTGGATCCACCAACTAGACAATGTTAAAGCACTTGGATACCAAATAATAGATGATTCAACAATATGAAATATCCGACTTAGTAAGCCTTTAGTTTAATTCATTCTTCAATTCGTCACCTGTTAAATTACTTATCGCACTAGTCCTTTTATGACCGCCCAATGCATATTATTACTGTGTGAATCATGAATACTCCACGCACACACAAATACATACACACTTTATTCCATTAGTTCACTGTGTGTACAGTTTATTTTCTTGTTATAATATATATCAACGGTTTACTTCACTTTTATGGGCATTATTCATTAACTACACGTTTCACTATTATAGTAATGCCAATGGTTGAGATCATGAATCATTTGAAGCTAGACCATCATGGAAAACCTGGAAGGACTGGACGGTCGTTTCGTCCTGTTGTGGAACTCCTCAGAAGTGCTCATCCATGATCCCGTCTCCCGTGAGATTCAAATCATGGACCTATCAGTCTCGTGCGCGAACATTTAAACTTTAGATCATTGAGCCGGCACCCAACAGCGTTAGTGTCTAACTTCAACTAATCCACGAAATTGAGTAACACATCCACCACCATTATCTTCAGTGAGTTGCTATCTTACAATAGACCCTGTTGAACTCCATTGGTCAGTGCTCCTCACTAGAACTCCAGGAAATACATATTGAAGCCAGTCACCAGCGAGCATATGTTGATTAGTAAGAGAATAATAAAATAAAAAAGAACAAGACTGTCTATCATCATTCCTTGAAAGGCAACATTTTGTAGACAAATAACATCTAGTGCGTCTCATGTGTACTGGTTGTTCGAATCTTCCCATTCATGTTTAAAAACGAAATTGATCAATCTCTAATTGGCATATGTGCATCCTGTGAGGATTGCCTTAAATCACAAATATTATAGGCAGAGATGGACAGTGGCTAGCAATGAAATCTAGGACACGGGTTACGTCCTATTTAACACTCGTCAACTGAACTTACCTGCATTCCGGAGTCAATATGCACCCCTGAACTCGAACCCAGTATCATTCACTTCTAATGCCATTGCGTTATCTACGGAATTCAGATAGCTACTAGTTTGTGCAATGCCGTAAAGTTTTGATTCATTTTTGTATTGATTGTTTGGATCTACTCATTAATATTTAAGACTGTAATTGATCAATCTCTTACTAGCATATGTGCATCCTGTAAGGATTACCTCGATATTACTAACAAATTACAAGCATTTTATAGTCATAGATGAATAGTGGCTAGCAGTAGAATAAAGGATGTGCGTTTCGTCCTATGTAGGACACATCAGTTGGATGTATCTGCATATATACATATACACCAATGGTATACTGATTTCATCTTAAAAATTAATCTGAGGAACAGAATCTCAATGATCAATGCTAATTTAAAGAAAACGACAAGGTTTTTATATCTGATGCAGATGTGAAGGCGCGGATCGGCAAAGCAAGAATAGCATATCTACAATTCAGGAACTGAAAACAAGTGTCTGTCAACCAACACCAAAGTCAGAATTTTCAATACAAATATCAAGACAGTTTCAGTGTATAGGGCGGAAACTAAGGGAACTACGCAAGTCATCATCCAGAAGATATAAGTGTTTAATAACGGTTGTCTACGCAAAATACTTCGGATCCATTGGCCAGACAGTATCAACAGCAATCTACTATGGAAGAGAACAAATCATATTCTAACGGAGAAGAAAATCAGGAAGAAGTGCATTGAGGAAAGCACCCAATTACATCACAAGACAAGCCCACATCACTTGAAATCCTCAAGGTCAAAAGAGAAGAGGAAGACCAAAGAACACAAGAAATATAGACAGATATGAAGAGAATGAACAACAATGAGATAGAACTAAAAAAGAGTGGGTTGAAGGATGACGATCGGTGGCCTATGCTCCATTGGGGGTAATCTGGAGAACAATAAAAAGTGAGGCTGATCATCTGGATCTTCAAGCTGACTTAGACGATTTAGTTAGATGGGCTCGAGAGTGGGGCTTAGAAATAAATTATAGGAAGTGTGTGCTAATGCACATCGGTCATGATAATAGTTACCGTTATACTATTGAGGGTAAACCTCTTCTATGTGCTCGAGAACATAAAGACTTAGGAGTAGTAGTAAGTCATGATTTAAAAACAACTACGCATTGCAAAGCAGCCGCTGTTAAAGGTTTTCGTGAGTTATGGTCATTTCGCCGAGCGTTCAAATCTTTTGACGAGGAAACGTTCCGAATTTTATATCCCATGTATGTAAGACCACATTTAGAGTACTGTATCCAATTAGCTAGCCCGTGTCTGGTAAAAGATACTAACTCCCTTGAGCGTGTCCAGTGTGTGGGAACGAAATTAGTGAAAGGTCATTCTAGACTCCCTTACAATGAGCGTTTAAAACGCCTAAACCTTTTCCCCTTGTCATATCGTAGGACACGAGGTGACCTTATACTGGCATTTCGTATCTTTAATTATGATTTGGGTGTTAATATGTCTTATCTGTTTTGCTCCCTCCAGCACTAATAATCTCCAAGGTCATAGCAAGAAGGTTCATAAACCACAATCTAATAAACTTAAAGTAGTGTCCCGTTTTTCTCATCGAGTAGTCAATGATTGGAACATCTTACCCAAACAAGTGGTATCAGCCCTATCAGTGAATACTTTCAAGGAGAAGCTGGACCTTCACCGGAAGGCAATCTGTCAGGATTAACACAGGTTTACCAACCTACTATTCTTATTACTGAAGACTAATAGGCGTAATTAAGTACAAAGTTTCTTTTCCGTAAAATGAGTTTCATTTAATACAGTAAAATAATAAAATGAACAAGTCATTGTGTTTTTATTTTGTTGAACGTTTATGTTATATCAAAATCACAAACAATAAATTATCCTTTGAAAAAAATATATAAACAAATAAAAGTCTGGAGGGGGTGGTGTGGTGTGTGTGTGTATGTGTAGATATTCTTAGAAAGCATTAGATGTACATTGTTGAAGAATCCCATGATGGGACGAAACAATTATCCAATATACTTTTTAACAAGGTTTTCCATAATGATCTCAATTCAATGGACTCATAATTAAAATAAAAAAATCTGTATTGATTTTCTTTCTTTTTGTTGTTGTTGTTGTTGTTGTTGTTGATAAATATTGACAACTAAATAACGATTTCTAATCATAAAGCAATAAGTAGACAAAACAAAAAGAAAAGAAAAAAGAGAAGAAAAAAAGAAAGAAAAGGGGTCATTGAAAATATAAAAAAAAGAAAAGAAAAACAGCGACGACGACAACAACAACAAAAGAAAATCCACATGATTCATACGTATTCTATGTACAACAAAATTTTCTTTTTGTTGATTGTTTTAATTGTGGTTCTGGAACTGGTAAATTATTTGTTGGTATAATATTAGTTTCATTCGAATTGAATGATGGATGTTTACTAATAAGTTGATATATATCTTCATTAAAAAAATGAAATCAAAATAAAAACGATTAATAGTGAAATTGTAATATTTTTTTAAAAAATTAAAAGTTAACTTAATGAGTTGATCTGACCCCCTAAATGCCCTGGTACGGCTGAGAGTGCAAAGAGAGAGAGAGAGAGAGTCCGCTCTCCTTCCCGAAATGCTCTCACATGACCATGCGTATATAGGCCTCTGCTTACTCACTGCCTTCTCGTGGCGGGGGTGTTGTTTACGAAAATGAGAGGACGAAAAGTGAATAACCGGCGCTTTAACCGGATTCAAAACCAATGGTGCACATGGGCTCCAGTATCCTGAGAGAACAAATGGTGTATGAACCAATCGTTGGTCACTGGCTACCATGTGACTGCATCTCCTTACGATGCTTTACTGCCTTGTGGATCAGACCTTCAGGTCGAAGGCTCGGGGAGTGGCCCCGGGCAGTATCACAGCCCTCACATATATCGAATGGGATTTGTGTGGCGCATATGTATTTGGTGCGTCCTTGTACCAATGTCTATGTGTTAAAATAAATAAATAAATAAAGGCCTCTGCCAGGAAAGTCCTACTCACTGCCTTCTAACACCACGGTATTCTTTAAGAAATTGAGAGCATAAAAAGTGAATGTTCGGCGTTTTAACCGGTTTGTGGATATGAAGGGTCAATCTAAGGGAGATGGAAAACCCTAATTCCAAGCCAATGGTGCACATGAGCTCGAGTATCCTGAGGGAACAGATGAAGTATGAACCAATCGTTGGTGACCGGCTACCATGGGACTACATCTCCTTACGTTGCTCCACTGCTTTGTGGATCAGACCTTTAGTTCGAAGGCTCTGTGTGTGACCGCCTAAGAAAATCACTTGCTTCGATTTGGGCACCCGGCCAGTATCACAGCCCTCACACATATCGAATGGGATTTGTGTGGCGCATATGTATTTGGTGCGTCCTTGTACCAATATCTATGTGTTAAAATAAATAAATAACCGATAAAAATTAAACTGTCAGTATTAGGTTGTGAATATTGCTAAATTTCACTAAAATCATGAACCGATCTAAGTAAGGCCACTATTGAAAATCTGATAGTAATGAATAAAAGTTTCGTCCAAGAGTAGGACTCCTTAGCAGTGCACGGTCCATGATCTCACAAGTGGCCATCCAGTGCTTCCGCCGCATGATCTTACTTAGATCAATTCATGATTTCTATGAAAAAAAAAATTGTACTACTGTGAAACATTCAATTGAATTTCATTTACTTTTTATTGTTTGATTAAATGCTTCTTCAACATTAATTGAATCTAATGCTGATGTTTCCATAAATGATATACCTTGTTGTTTAGCATATCGAGTAGCATCTTCTGTTAATACACAACGTAAATGTTTTAGATCACATTTATTTCCAACTAACATAATTACAACATCATCTGATGCATATTCTCTTAATTCTTCTAACCATTTGTCTAAATTTAAAAATGTATGCGGTTTTGATATGTCATAAACTAGAATAGCACCAACAGCACCACGATAATAACTAAGAAATAGATGAATAATAAAAAACATCATTTTAGTATATTCATTTAAACAGATCATTGATAGTTAGTAAATAAAGATATTCAATTTGTAATAAGAACAAAAGGAATATAAGATACCGACCTGGTTGAATATTTGACCTACTTGTTCCTGCCAACTAGATATTTGAACATATAAACATTGATACAAAAGGGCACCGAATACATATGTGCCACACAAATCCCATTTGATTTGTGTGAGAGCTGTGATACTGACCGGGTGCCCAGACCGAAGGTGATTTTCTTAGGGAGCCACACACAGAGCCTTCGACCTAAATGTCTGATCCACAAGACAGTGGAACAACGTTAGAAGATGCAGTCCTATGGTAGCCGGTGACCAACGACTGGTTAATATGTCTTTTGTTCCCTGAGGATTCTGAAGCCAATGTAGACTATTGGTTTGGGACGAGGGTTTTTCAATTCCCTTGGGTGGGTCCTCTATATCCACCAACCCATTTAAAGCGCCCGACATTCGCTTTTTTCCGCTCCATTTTGTAAGTAACAATAATGCCACAAGAACACATTGAGTAGGACAGTGATTGTATCCATGTGGCCATATGAGATGGAGATAGAGAGCTGACTCTGCCCACCCTCGGCCGTACTAAGGCATAATCTACTCAAGAGCGTTTATGAGAAAAGTTTACAACTTTTCATTGTATAACTTACAAAAATGTACAACCAGAGACATCGTGATGGCTGGCGATATGCATTGAAAAGAGTATACATTATTCAGATGTCGATTCCTGAACTACTTACATCTAACTGGCAACCACTAAATGCTTATCGTCAGGATCGATCAAGAAATAAGAAAAACGGAAACTTGTTGAATTACTTTGTGCCGAGAATTCTATATTATACCAAAAGTATAATATTGAATAATGATGATGATAATAATAAAGATACGTTGAATTCCTTAATCTAATTGATCTAGTACTGAAGATCTCCATGTTATTCTGAATAAAATATGGTCAGTAAAAGTTTTCTTTAAATTAATCTTCTCTGTTAATCAATATATATATATATATATATATATATATATATATATATATCAAGTTATAGCTCCGCCTGGGGCCTCCCTAGGGCTACTGCAGGTCCCAAGCCCGAATAAACCGGGAGGGTTGGGCATCAGTCAGTCAGTAACAACGTAGAACTTCGTACGTACGTACATCAGTTCGAGTTGCCACACCACATTAGCACAGAGATACAGTTGTCGATTCAAATCCCGTAGTGGTAGAGGTAGCAAGAGTATAAGGAGTAATCGGGAAAATTAGTGTTTGGAGATGTTATTTAAAGAGTATAATACAGTGAAATAAATTTGGAAACAGGAAAAAAGGGACATGGAGAGTTCAGAAGATTAGAATTTGGGAGAACACAAAGAGTGGATGCACCTGCGCCAATGCAAACGATTTTGAGCCATGTCATTCAGGGTCTCTAACCATCGGTTGCTATCATCTCGCGGTCCCCAACCAGGTGGTCTACACCTACCAACATGACTCAGTTCACTTGTCAGTGACTTCATGGATTTGTGCCATGTTTTGGTTTGGCCGCCCCTAGCTTTCTCCCAACCTACTCCTATACCACTGAACATAGCACGTCGAGGCAGTCGGTGGTTGGGCATACGTAACACGTGTCCCAGCCACCTCAACTGATGAAGTTTCACTACTTCATTAATTGATTTGCCCCATTCCGTAGAAAACTAACTCGCTAAAATAACGCTAACCAGAAAAAAATGGCTCAGTCAGTGGTGTATAAACTGCAGACCTAATAACTGAATATTTGATAATCAAAATAAAAAACTGAACAGTTAGCTTATGTTTGTAACATAAAATCATGAAAATGATTACTGACAACTTGGCTAAGTTTTTATTATGATCAACCATCAAAGTAAATGTTATAATTCCCTCTTATTACGACCCAGCTATTCCTAGTGTTTAGTATTCTTGGACATTAATTCATTCGATAAGTCCCCCTAATCAGAACATGATTGAACAGGAAGGAAATTATATTTTAAATAATAAAGGTAGATGGAAGTAGGAATTACAATGCGAAAAACGTTAGTATATTTATGGTTTTTACACGAGAAGATTCTACAGTCTTCTCCAAGTATCCGCTAGCGCTAATTGGTTAATAAATAGCCAATCAACGTACACCAACACAGTCGTACACGGAACGTGCATTAATTCAATCTATGCCCCCCCCCTATAACAGTAACATCAAAATGACTACATCAATAATTTTAGAATGTTCAAAAACAACAACATCAAAGGATCAAATTCAGTTAATTTTAACTGAAGTAAGAAGTTTCAGTGAATAATCTGTGCTATGTTTGAAGAGATTATGAGATTACTTAAATCGGCGAACAAAACGAAGACTCAGCGATACAATGACAAGATAAGTCAACTATTATGATGTATCCCAGCCCCGTTATCTAGAGGGAGACGTCCAGGTACAGAAGAGGGAAAATATCTTCCACAAGCATCCAGAAATACGGAAAGCAACAAGCATACAACTCAAGCGGAAAAATATACAGCATAAAAATATCCTTGAGAAATGTCACAAAATAGAATCTTAAAAGAGATAACGAACCAATGACATTTAAGGTCCTGCCAAGTGGAAAATACAATCTGAAGGTAAAAACTGGAGCGAGAAATTCAAAAATCTAAAATAAGATATCTGCCAATTGAGTTCTGGAGATCTAGCATATTGAACGGTTTATCTTAAAGGATAAAAAGTTTTGCCTAGAAAGTTACAAATAAACTAAATCTTGTGAAAACTAATTCAATGTTACATTTCAGTCAATCAGTTAGCCAGCTACAACGTAGGATCAGGCACAAATATGCATCGGTTCAGGTTGCTAGACCTCATTCATTATAACACAACAAGATGATCACTAAATTCATAGAAGTAATTACACTTCAATAGTAGTAATATATAAAACGAAGATTTTGTATAAGGATTAGTTCGTACAAAGGAAGGTAATAAAATAAGTTTAATATCAAAGTTCAGGAGAAGACAGAAAGTGTATACACGTATGACATTGTGATTGATTCTGAGCCATGTCACACAGAGTCTCCAACAATTAGTTAGGATAGTCGCACTGACTACAACGAGGTAGTCTACATCCACCAACATTGCTCAGACCAGAAATCAATAACTTCAAGGACTGATGCCATGTTTTCGTTTGGCCGCCCCTAACTTTCTTCTAACCATTCCCAACACTAGTCAACATTGAGCGTCGTGGTAATCGGTGTTTAGGAATAGAGTAGCAAGTAGTTCAACTAGCTCAGTCGATGAAGATTTACTTGACAGAAATATATAATTTGAATAATATGAGGATGAAGTATTTTAGTATCAATAAAATGAAACACTTTAGCTACATTTCAACAGGGTTATATTGTGCGATTGTCTAAGTATAATGTGGTACGAGCTACTGATATCGATAGATATAAGTAGTATGTATCATCAATCGAAAGTGAAATATTTGGCGGCAGACGTTTAAGACAACGAGAACAGAGAATAGTTGCTGTGGAAAGGAAGGAACAACAAAGTTTGAAACGATTGATTGACATTTTGAAAACGAAGTATCAACTGTATAATTCTGAGATTTGACTAAGATGTTCTGTACTGTTGTATTCAAATATATTCGATTATGCCCGTTTGTATTCTCGTTCACTACAGTAATATGTAAACCTTCTATACATAAGCCAAAAACTAGTGACTTGAATAAGTAGAAAGAGTTTTATTGAATAAAAATCAATAAAGAACACATATGTACATTTATTTTCAAATACATATATATGCACTTCTACCCTAGAAACAAAGTCACCATTTCAACCAGTGACATGTATCTTCTTCCTTAGGAAATGATGCTAAATCTTGAACCATTGATGTAAATTTATCTTTGAACACATATCTCATTGATCCCATGTATCAGATTGTTGTATCCTGATAAGAATAAATGAGTGGTAATTTTTGGGTTCCATTTATGAACCAATGCTATGAGTGTATTTTTATCGTATAATTGTTATGTAACCAAACTGTCCATATTCATGCCCCTTTTATTAAGAGCTTTATTTCGATCTATGAACTATTATTACACGATTGACCATTCATGAATTATTCCCTGTCTGTTAATCACTACCTCCCTCATTCACAGCCACATTTGGCCAAATCTTGTTTCATATTTTATTGGTACGTTGTGGTCGGTTTGATTGGTATATAAACTCAGTATGCTTGAAATAAAATGATTCACATCTCAGAGGCTGAGACTTGCGTTCTGGATTCAACTGGCTGGGCTAGGCGGAAAGCAGGACCAATCAGGACTCTAGGTTGTTCTCACGTGTTTACGCGTCTTTGCTCCGATCGATAATACGCTGCCGTCTAACCTGCAGTCACAGTTATAACACAGATATTGAATAACAATGAAATTCAGAAAATATTTTTTATTCTACCTGGAACTTATCAGTTGTTAATCTTTTCACCGAATCCAGTGTAGTGAACGAGAACATAAGTGGAAACAATTGAATGTAATTGAACACACAAAATTACAGCATATCTAAGAATTATACAATAAATACTTCATTTGTAAAATATCAATCAATCTTCTCAGATTTCACTGTTCTTGCACATTTTCATACCAATTGCTTTCTGTTCCGGTTCTTTCCTTCTTCACCTTATGCTGTCAGACATTCTAATCCTCAATATCGTTATATACTACTTATGTTGATATATGTAGTACATAACACACCAGTACCATTGACATCGAACAAAGAAAAAACGTGTTCATCAATGATTGATTGAGTTCAAATAACCAATAGCTTTTACAATGAGCATATATTTTAATTTTACTGGTTTGTATTACTCTGTTGTTGATATTAAGAACTATAAATGACTAGTCATTATAGAAATGTTATACTGGTTGTTATTATATTGGATGCACACTGCTGATCTTAACCATTGAAAT